AGGCCAGCACAGAGGAGGGGGAGAGAGAGGGGGAGAGAGAGGGGGAGGAGAGCTCGGCGGAAGAGGCGGAGGAGCCCACCCACCTGGCTGTTTTGACGGGGGAACGGCGTCTCTACAATAGAAAATTCAGGACACATTTTCGACACATGAACTTCAGAATCCCCGAGGCGCCGCAAGGCGTCAATTTCAACCACTGGGTGCGTGATGTCATCACGTCACTCTTGGAGCAATCCTGGGTTGGGGCAGGCGACGACGACCGTGTCGGGCTGACGGTCACACTGCCTGACACTCCAGAGGGGGTTTTTCACATCCCGCTTGTCTTAAAGCGGGACCTGCATCCAGATTTAATTTTAGACCGAATTGAGGCTTTGTCGCAGAGCAATATGGCCGTGTTTTTAGCTGGGGACGTCACTGTCGAGTTTATTTGCTCGGAGAGTCCAGTCGGTGGCTCCATCAGGCGTTCGGCTTTATTGATGTGCGATATGAAGACCTTCGCCGCACACAAATATGGCCTTTACGAACCAAAAAAGGAAGTAGAAGCAAACGATTGCCTCATTCACGCCGTAGCAGCCGGGTGGGTGTGGAACCAAAGTCCGGAAGAGTTTCAGAAAAACTTGAAACGTAAGATCCCTTTTGAGAAAGAGAGGCGGATTCTCATCCAGGAGTCACAGATCCGATTCCCCAGGGCAGGGTGCGGCTTGGAAGAGCTTCGGGCCCTGCAGCGGTGCCTGGACCGCCGGGACCCCGGTCAGTACAACCTTGTACTGGTCGGCGACCGCCTTGCCAGTGAGTTGACTTTTCAGGGCAATCCTGGAGGCCGCTGCAAAATATTTTTGTACCTCGAGAATGAGCATTATTATTTTATAAAGAAGCTGACTACATTTGTGGGGGCTTCTTATTTTTGCGAGGAGTGCCTTGTCGGGTACAAATGTGAGGGCTATCACATCTGTGCCTCCCGGTGTCGCAAATGCTATGTGAAAGGGGGTAACTGCGTCGTGCAAGGCACGTACAAAAAGGTGTGTGACACATGCAGTTACACATTCTTTAATGAAATTTGTTTCGAGCGCCACAAGTCGGCTCCATTCTACTCGAATAACCGACCAGTGTGCGCCGTGCGCCAAATTTGTAAAGAATGTGGCGTGTTTGTGAACCTTCGCGACGCACGCCGCCAACACAAATGCGACGAGAGTTTTTGCCTCACTTGCCGTCAGACGGTTACACACGCCGACCACATCTGTTTCATGCAGCCCAAAGACACCATACTGCAAAAAAGAAATAAAGAAAAAGCACAACGCCGCATAGAACTCGAGAGAGGTAAGCGAAAGTTGACTCCCGAGCAGATTGATCACATCTTGTTTCAAGAGTTTTCTGACTACAGCAGTGATGAGGGAGAGAGAGAGGGAGGCGGCAGGGGTAGTGATTCTGGGTCTGATTCAGAGGCGCCGCGCCAAAAGCGCCAAAAGCGCAAAAAGCGCAAACCTGCAAAGCCCTGGTGTTTAATCACGTATGACCTCGAGACAAGACAAGACCGACAGCTGAGGGAAGGTGTATGGCTCCACGAACCCATCTTGTGCGTGTCTCAAACCTCTTGCCTGAGGTGCATGGCCAGCAATGACTTGACGCTGACATGCCGGTGGTGTGGGCCTCGGGAGCGTGTGTTTAAGGGGGCGGACTGCATTGAGCAGTTTATGCACTATGTCTTCAACGATGAGAAACTGCTCAAATTTGCTTCTTTAACCCTTTGTGCCCACAATGCAAGTGGATTTGACAATATCCCCATCCTTGATTTCCTCACCCAACGCCCTTGCTTTGCCAAGAGTTCGCCATCCATTATTATGCGTGGGACGAGAATTGTTGAGATCAAAATGGGAAGGGTACGGATGGTGGACTCCTTGAATTACCTTTCGATGAAATTGTCGGCGCTGCCAAAGGCTTTGGGGTTGGGTGTCGACGTCAAGAAAGGCTGGTTCCCCCACCACTTTTCACAACATTCTGGGTACGTGGGGCCTATACCCCCAAAGGAAATGTACGGGGTGGATAAGATGTCTGTGGCGGAGAGAGCAGAGTTTGAGGCGTGGTATGCCACACAGCAAGATGTCGTATTTGACCTAGACAGAGAGTTGCTGGAATATTGTCGCATGGATGTGACAATATTACGGCTCGCCTGTCTCCGGTTCAGAGAACTATATCTGGCTGTGGCTTCTGTTGATCCGTTTCGCGAGTGCTGTACTCTCGCATCATGCTGCATGTTGACTTACAGGGCCAACTATTTAAACCCCTCCACAATTGCGTTGCTTCCAGAGTGTGGTTACTTTGGGGTGGACAGGCAGTCCAAAGTGGCTCTAGAGTGGTTGCAGTGGTACAGTCATGAGCATAACATTGAGCTACAGCACGCGGGAAACGGACGCGAGGTCAAGGTGGGCCGGTTCAGAGTGGATGGGATGAATGCGGACCAAAAGCTGGTGCTGGAGTTTCTAGGGTGCTGGTGGCATGGGTGCCGTGCCTGCTTTTCTGCCAGGACGGCGGTCATTGGTCACGAAAAGAAGAACAACGAGGACACGATGGATGCCCGCCTCAAACGCACCCAGGAGCGGAGGGAGCTCTTGGAGGCGCAGGGTTACACGGTGGTGTCCATGTGGGAGTGTGAGTGGAAACGGCAGAAGCAGATGGACGCCGAGGTGAGTGCGTTTGTCGAGGCCCATCCTGTGGCACTGGAAGATCCTTTGGATCCCAGAGAGGCCTTTTATGGGGGCAGGACCAATAATACCAAGTTGTACTGTGCTGCTGGTCCCGATGAGATGATTTGCTATGCCGATATCTGCTCACTCTACCCCTATGTCAACAAAACAGGCCTGTACCCTTTGGGTAAGCCCCGTCGTGTTCTGGCTGATTTTCCGCACCCTAAAGACTTTCACGGCTTCATCAAGTGCGTCGTGCTTCCTCCGCAAAACCTCTATCACCCCATTTTACCCCTTAAATTACACAACAAGTTGATGTTTGTTTTGTGCTACGCTTGTGCCGTAGAGTGTCTCTTTGAGAGGCCTGAGGGGTGTCCCCACACCCCTGAACAAAGACAGTTGAAGGGTACATGGGTTGCGGAGGAGGTGAGCTACGCCCTTGAAAACGGGTACACGCTTGTCCAGACCCTAGAGGTGTGGGTGTATGACCGGTGGACTCGTTATGATCCGACCAATAAGGACCCCCTGTGTGAGGAGAAGCTCGGCATTTTTGCAGGGTATGTGAATGCTTTCCTCAAGCTAAAATTGGAGGCGAGTGGCTGGCCGGCAGAGTGTGACACCGACGAGAAGAAAAAGGCCTATCTTGAGGCCCAGGCGGCGAACGGCGTGATGCTGGACGCCAACTGTATGGAATACAACCCGGGTAAGCGCACGCTGTCGAAACTCCAGTTGAACAGCCTCTGGGGGAAATTCGGTCAGAAACCTAACCTCACCAAGCATGTTATGGTGACGGCTGTGGACAAGCACTACGACCTGCTCATGGATGAGGCCCTCCAGGTAAACAGCATTCTCCCCATCAATGAGTACACAGAGTTGGTTTCGTACGAGGCCAGGGAGGGCGCCGTGCCAACAAGTCCCAACACCAATGTAGTCATTGCTGCCTACACGACGGCCCAAGCCCGCATCATTCTCCACAGATATCTAGCCACCCTGGGACAGAACGCCACGTACTACGACACGGACTCTGTGACCTTCAAACAGGGGCTTAACGACCCACCTCTTATCCAGTACGGCACAGACTTGGGACAAATGACGAATGAGCTCGAGGCGTTTGGCCCGGGCTCCTACATCACCGAGTTTGTAAGCGGTGGACCCAAGGTGTATGGGCTTAAAATTGCAAAGGGAGGCAATCGTGATGATGTGGCTTACGTGGTGAAAGTGAAAGGGGTGTCTCAAAACAGCTCCAACACCAATCTCATCACATTTGAAAACTTAAAGAAGTTGGTGTTGGGTGAAATCGAGTCCATCCGGATTGAGAGTAAGAAAGACATCCGCCGGGACGGGCGCTTCCACATTCTGAGTAAAGACACCCACAAAATTTTAAAGCCAGTCTACACCAAGAGACAAAGACACCCTAGGTCCCATGAGGAGATGTACAAGTACGACACCATACCGTATGGCTACAAAGAAGGTTGAGAGAGAGAGAGGGGGAGAGAAAAGATTTTCCCCTGACGGGCGTGGCGCGGCGTGGCGTGGCGTGGCGTGGCGTGGCGCGGCGGCGGTCATCGGGCGCGGCGGCGGCGGCGGTCATCGGGCGCGGTATTCGGGCGCGGTCATCGGGCGCGGTATTCGGGCGCGCGGGGCGGCGCGGGGCGGCGCGGGGCGGCGCGGGGCCGGGCGGGTAAATATAAAGGGGTGTCAACCGAGCCAAAGTTAGTATGAAAAATGGTTCTACCGTGGCAGCATCCTTTCTCCGCGATCATCTCTGGGCCCTCGGGCGCGGGAAAAACAGAATTTGTGTCACGTTTTATTGAACATCTGAACGTGATGGTGGATACCCCGATAGGCGAGGTGATCTGGCTTTACAGTGAATGGCAGCCGGCGTATGAGAAACTAAAGCATCCTCGTGTACGTTTCAATCAGGGCCTCCTCGGTATGGAAGACTTTCCCCCTGAACCGCACGCACGACTTGTGGTCATTGACGATCTCATGGCCGAATCGGGAACAAAATCCGCCTCGGGGCCCGGAACGGACTTGGAAAAGTTGTTTACTAAAGGGAGTCATCATAGGGGGCTCAGTATTATGTACTTGACGCAAAATATTTTTCATCAAGGGAAAGGGTCGCGAACCATAAGTCTCAACACTCACCTCATGGTCATCTTCAAGTCACCCCGCGACTCCAGTCAGATAGCCTATCTCTCCAGGCAAATTTTTCCACACTGCCCCAAGCTTGTTCAGGAAGCGTATCATGACGCGACGCGCGAGGCTCACGGCTACCTCCTCCTCAATTTTAAACAGAGCTGTCCCGACGAGTTTCGCGTCACGACAAAGATCTTTCCCGACGATCGACACCATTTCGCGTACGTCCCACGGGCTTATAAGACAGACACCTTGTGATGATCACGTCAGTCGGAAATCGGCAGTGCGATGGAGCGGAACATCACGGCGCATCTTGAGCTCCTCAAGGCGTTGGAAAAGGCTCAGCCTGCGGGTCGTAAGTCACTTTTGAAAACGTGTAATTGCGACGTTATTCGTTGCTTGGTGGAGTGTGCACACAATATTCTGATCGGAAACGTCCGTCTTACGCCGACTCAAAAGCGAAAGCTGAAAAAACACCGCATTTTTCTGCATCGACTCACCAAATCCGGAGAGAGTGTGGCTAAAAAGCGACAAGTGCTTATTCAAAAGGGGTCGGGGCTGGGGGCCATTTTGGGGGCGGTCGTTCCGGCCATCCTTAGTGCTATTTTTAGCAAAAAATCATGATGAATGTGACCAAAAAACTACTCCTAGTAGACCCCCAAGCGCTGTCGCGATTTCACACGCCGGTCCCGGCGAGTAATTCTCTATCGGATTTGGACGAGTCCATGCAAAAAATTTTAGCTTTGAAACATATTGATGATAGTCAAAAGTGGGCATTGTACAACGAGCAGCTTCAAAAGTATTTCTTTAAACTCGAAGAGGCGCGGAAACCTCTCACTTTTCCAATTACGGAACCTGCTGACAGCAGCAGCAGCGGCGGCAGTGATCCGCCACCACCACCACCCCCTAAATTCGATCTCAGAACGCGTATTCAGAATGAAATCCCACCGACTTATCGAAAAAAGGCGACAGCTCTCTACGACTTTCTTGCAGACTCGGAGAGAATAACCTGGGACAGATTTGGTACCGTGTCCATCGATCATCTTCCGCTAGAGGGCTCTAACCTGATTGACCTTCTGGGTGATTTGCAAAGGCGCAGGAAAAACTTTGAACCCAATGGCGTTAGGCCTTTTCTTAAACTTCTTAGGGGTCTCAACGTCGCGCGGGAACTGATTGGAAATACCAAGCGTTGGCAAGAGATGCAAGAAGGGGGTGGGACCGAGCGGGCTTCCGAGCGGCCTTCCGAGCGGGCTTCCGAGCGGGCTTCCGAGCGCCCTACTGGGACTCGAGTGTGTCAGCCGCTAAAATGGGAACGGTTGACGTGGTAACGGACGCCGAGGATGCGGTTTTGAGATTAGTGTATTACGATACGGCGCACCCCGCGGGTTACTCGACGGCCCCCAAGCTAAGCAAGGCCACGGGGCTACCCCTGGAACGTGTCCAGGCGTGGTTGCGCTCTGAAGAGGCCTACACACTGCACAGGCCTATTCGCAAACGCTTCCCGCGTAACCCTTACAAGGTCTACTTTATTGATGATTTGTGGCAGACCGATCTGGTCGATATGCAGTCCAAAGCCGCGGAAAACTCGGGTGTACGATTTTTGCTGACGGTCATTGACGTCTTTTCAAAATTCGCTTGGGTGCAACCCCTAAAAAATAAAACGGGGGCCAGTGTACGCGCCGCGCTGGAAACGATCTTTCGCGAATCGGGGAGAAAGCCGAAAAACCTCCAATTTGATAAAGGGCGGGAGTATCTAAACAAGGAAGTGTCCTCTTTTCTCAAGCGAGAAGGCGTCCATTCTTATCACTCGCACGACCCCGACGTGAAGTGTCCGGTTATTGAACGATTTAACAGAACGGTCAAGGGGAAAATGTACAAGTATTTTACCAAAGTGTCCAACTACCGATACCTCGATGAGTTGCAAAATTTTGTCGCGAGCTACAATGCGGCGCGTCACCGGACGATTAAAATGGCGCCCAAAGACGTCAACACGAGTAACATGGCCCAGGTTTACGGGGCGTTGAAACAGCACTGGGAAAAGGCAAAAACCGGAAAAAGTGACCTGACTGTTGGTACGCATGTGCGCATAGGCGTGGAGAAGGGGCGGTTCGAAAAGGCGTACGAGGAAAATTGGAGCCAGGAGACCTTTATAATAGATAAAGTTCTACGACGGGGGCCAGTTGCTACGTACCTGCTACGGGACTTGGATGGCACTGAGATTCAAGGTGGTTTTTACGGGCACCAGCTTCAGAGAGTCAATCCCACCGAACTGTTTAAAATTGAGCGTGTCATTCGTACAGAGAGGCGAGGGGGTAAGACGCGATACTTTGTCAAGTTTAGGGGGTACCCCGATAAATTTAACGCGTGGGTCGACAATCTGCAGCCAACATGAGTCAATTTTATGTGACACTGCCCAGTAACTCTAGTATGGGGCCGTTTCCAAACAATAAGAGCTCGGAATACACCACGCAGCTGGCGAGACCCATCAGTCTTTCGGAAGAATACGAGGCGGCCCTGACGGAAATATGTTACCCCATTACGTTTCTCCACTTTCCGAAAAACACGGAATTTGTCACGACGACCTCAGTGGGTGGCCTGACCGACGCGTCGCCTCTTGATCCGCGGTACTTTGACACACCGACGACTCTGATGACTGAATTGAATTTGCGTTTGCCGAAAGGGATAGAGTTGAGAGCCGGCCCCGGGGGGTACTGCATGACTAGCATTGATAAAAAGGTTCTATCCGCAAACCATCACACTTTCCCTCAGCAGGATGGGGTGAAGGATGTCAAGTTATCGCCCCTTCTGGCCACCGTTCTCGGCTTTGAAGCTGATCAGTCCTTGGTAAAGGGCGTTATGGCGGCACGAAAAGTGAATCTCAACGCAGCGCTCCCAGAGACCTTGATGTGTTATACCGATATCCTGGAGAGCTCTCTCCTTGGTGATACGGCTGCACCCTTGCTGCGCGTATTCAATTCTTGCGTCGCCAAAGCTCCCTACGGCACAATGCATACCGTATCGTTTGTCAACCCCTTCTACGTTCCGGTCAAAAAGCGCAACTTTCAAACGATTGACATCCTTATAAAAGACGCACTGGGGAACAATGCGTCATTCACTCATGGGACAGTGACGTGTACTCTTCATTTCCGCCGTCGTCAGCTCGTGTGAAAGAAAACCATGGCTCTCAGCCGATATCACGCGCATCACGTCGGGTCCGGGTGCCCTTACACGGCGTACTACCTCGCGCAGGCCCAGGGTGGTCACGGCATCCCTAATTTTTACGCCGGGGCTCCCTACCAGAGAGGCCACGGCTTTGGGGACGTGCTCAGGAGTCTTTTCAGATTGATTATCCCAGTGGCCTCAAAAGCCGCAAAAGCCGTCGGGAAACAAGCTTTGATTGCGGGTTCAAATGTCGTCACAGACACCCTGATTAATAACAAACCGATCAAAGAATCCCTGGATAACCGCTGGCGCGAGACGCGCGGTATTCTAGCCGATAAAGCTTCTGCTCAAGTAAAACAAATGTTGGGTAATGGGCATATAAGTAAACGCTCCCAGGGTACACGCCGTCAGTCCGCTAGCAGCCGTTCTCGGAGACGCACCCCTGCCCGTCGTCGTCGCAAGACCCCCAAGAAGGCCAAAAATAAGACGGCCAAGAAAGCCATACGGAAAAAGAAAAAGCGTGTCGCGTCTTTTCTGAAAAAGGATATCTTTGACTAACAACAGCCGCATCATCATGTCTCTCCTCCACCAAAACTCTTGTGAGTGTATTAAGAGCGAGTTGGACTTCTTTAGTGTGCCGCCATCCCAACAGATGATACTGGGTACCCAGGATGTAGAGTTTTACCCTGTAAGCCCAATTATTGCGGGCACCGTCATTGACGTTGTGGTCCCACCCTGTGCTGGGGAATATCTGTACGATGTCAACGGCGCTCGTCTAAACGGAGTTGGCAGGTTGACGGGAGCCACGGCCGCGGCCGCCGACGCACTGCCTGCGGAGGCGCCCGTGAATCTCATCCCCCATTCATGCTTTTCCCATGTGGAACTTATCCTTAACGGTAAACAAACATCTTGCGGTTCTCACATGTACCCTTACAAGTCGTACATAGAAACTCATCTTGGGTATGGGAGCGACGCAAAGGCGTCTCATCTGACCAACCGTCTGTACTATGCCGATACAGCTTGGAATTTTAATAAAAGGACTGCAGATAATGAGGGGTACGAGAAAAGGGCTAAACTTTTTAAAGGGGGACGCTCAATCGATATTGTGACGCCAATAAGCCTCCCTTTCTTGAATCAACAACGCATGCTTCTCTCGGGCGTCGAAATGCGCTTTCGCTTTCATTTCAGTAAACCAGAATTTCACATCATGGGACCCGAGAACTCTTCGGCTCAATTTGAGTGGACAAGCTTCTCTCTGACTATTCCGCGGGCTCAAATCAGTCCCTCCGTGCTCCTCGCTCAGTCCCGGGCCCTTGAGACGGCCACTGCCAAATATCCCATCTGTCGCACAGAATGTAAAACTCTGACCATCAACGCCGGGCTCCGTAGCAAAGTTTTTGATTCGGTGTATCTAGGGCAGCTGCCAAAAAGGGTTATATTGGGGATGGTGGACAATACGGCGTTCAACGGCGCCTATACCGAGAACCCTTTTAATTTTGATCATATGGATTTGTCGTTCGCTGCTCTGTATATAAATGGCGTGCAAGTTCCAGCCAGGGGGCTCAATCCAGATTTCACTCATGCTAGATCGACAAAATATGCTGACTGCTACCAAACGCTCTTCTCTGGCTCTGGGGTTCATCACAAGGATGAGGGGAATGGTATTGATCGAGAGGCTTATCCGGGTGGAAACTGTTTTCTGATATTTGATCTCAGCCCCGACAGAAGTAGTCACGAAGGGCACTGGAATCTCCAACAAACCGGCTGTCTCCGCATTGAGCTCCGCTTCAAGCGCGATCTTGTCAAGGCTGTCAATCTCGTTGTCTATGCCGAGTTCCAATCTCTGATTGAAATCGACAAATACCGCACGGTGCACACTGATTATTCGACCTAATCATGAACTCTTTGGAGATTGCCGACTGTCTGTCAAAAGAATCTGCCCTCTTCAAGGGCGTGTTTGCGGCCGATTTGCTCCCCGCAAAAGTAACCTACCCGTGCCTGTACGTTGTCAACACTGCTGGAAGCGACCATCCAGGAGAACACTGGATCTGTATATATTTTTCTGTAAATAGGCATGCTGAATATTTTTGTAGTCTGGGGGTGGCTCCTCGCGAGCCTTATCATGTCAAGTTTATTAAGAAACACGCCCGTACATGTGACTATAGCCGTCATAGAATCCAGAGTCTGACTTCAGACGTCTGTGGGCAATATTGTGTGATGTACGCACTGCACCGCTCTCGGGGTAATACGCTAAATGAGTTTCTCAATATGTTTTCAAAGCGCCATCACGATAAAAATGATACTTTTGTAAGATGCCTGTTCAAAAACAAATATCCAAAATTCACGACAAAAACACACACGCCATCAACGCCTCATCAGAAGTGCTGCATACCCCGGCTTGCCGAGACCTCTTGATTCCCATTGGCTGCCGCTCCGACCGACGCCCCCACCACACCTACGCAACCCCACCCTTAGGCCCCGCGCTAGGGTGGGGGGTGCACTTGGTGGGGGTATGAGAGACTGCCGCCCCGACCGACGCCCCCCACCACACCTACGC